GTCGTCGACGAATCCGTCGTCGACGATGCTTCCAAGTCGATCGAGTTCCCGGCGGACGAAGGCGAACCCGAACGCGATATCGCGAAATACTTTGATTTGGCCAGCATCAAGTTTATAGACGACGAGGAGCCCGATGACGAGGATCTAGCAAATGGTATAGTCGCGCGTGCAGATATAGCGAGGCCGTCAATTTTCCAGTTAAATGCTGCACTTTTATGTTTTTATACGTTATCTTCGAGATAACTTTCTCTATATGTATATGTATCAATTACAAGAATATACATACGTATACCCGCAACCTTGTAACTCGAATTGTTCTCGACGCGAATAACGACGTTAACGGCGAACATCGATTAATCGTTTGTAAAATTGTTGACAGTAGAACTGGACGGTTTCAACGCTGGTCGGGTGCGAGAAGCTTGGGTCATCGCCGTCGAAAGGTAATCGTTTCTTTTATTGTTTAGTCGGGTATTTGGAGAAAATTTCGATATAATTAAAAGAAAAAAAAATGTATTTCGATGACAGACGAGCAAAAGAAAGGCTGCAGAGACTGGCATCCCACTGGAGGATTCAACCGCGCGATATTCAAGCGATTTTGCACCAGCAGGTAAGATTCTCGGAGCTTACGTTCGATCAACAGGTTAATCGATTCGCGAAAAACTCGCGTCGAACGACGTTGCCTCTAAACGGTGTTCGATAACGAGATAAACTGCGATCTCACGGTTCCATTGTATTCGAACGAACGAACGAACGAACGGAGTTTCTATTCCGGCGACGTCCGACCGTGATCCATCGAACATTCCTATCGGAAGACTAACCGCGAATTCATAACGCGTTTCCAAACAGCGATCCGCTCGCTCTCTCGCTCGTTCAACGGAACAATGATTCGCGAATTAATCGATCAGGGAAGAAGCTCGACACGGAGCTTGCTTATGACATATGAAATGCAAAGTAAACCGAGACGACGAGCGGCCTTGGACAAAGCTCGATCCTCTCACGGATCGCGCTCGAACCAACTGGTTAATTACACGGTTAACCGGTTACCGATTCGTCTCGCTTCGACCTACGATCTTTTTATCTCGATGGCGTCACCGAATCGCGAATAGCTTAATCTTCTTTTCCAGCTAAATCTTCCGAGAACTTTCGGTATGGTCGGCTTGGTGTTACTATTTGCAATCAGTCCCGGTTCGTAAGACGAACGGGCGTTCGTTTCCCGATACATCCTGCAAAGAAATTTCAAGCTGTCGAACGAAATTGAACGTCGTCCGTTGATCGAGCGCAACCGTACCGCGAAAGAAGCTTAATCGCAGCTCGCGTGCCACCGTTCCCGCGTATATTCCACAGGTTGTGTCCCAAAAGCGTTGCCAGTATTTTCTCTTTCTCTTTCCGTATTTCTTTTTTTCTTCTCTTTGTCCGTTTTTCCTGGCACGATCGCGCGTGTGCGTGCGCGAGTGCGTGTGTGTGTCAGGAAAAGGAGGGAAGGAAGGAAGGGAAAAAGAGCATCGATCGAAGAGTCGCGTCGGGTAAGCCTTTGTTTCCGCGTGGTAGCCGGCTGGTGGGGTGCGGGGGTGGTGACCGACAGGTAAAACTCAGCTGATTGTTTGGTATCGCGTGTATTTTTCTTTGCGCGCGTGTATATGTGCAGATCAACGAGGCGGTCGCGTCCACGAGCGGGGACAGCGCGGGCAAAAATGTGACAGGCAACCAAATAACCGTGACGCTCGCCGACAAGTAAGTGCCATTCAGTTCTTGCCGCTTTTATCTTCGATTCGCGATTCCGTAAATTTGAAATAGCCGCTGTTAAACGGGTGCTACGGGTCCTCTGCGATGTCTTACACACAGAATCGACTAGCTTAGACGACCAACTTCTGTATGTACGTTACTGGAATTTTCATGATCATCTCGAGGCTCGTATCACCTTTAAGACTTAAAGGTCAGGGTTAATTATAATAATTGAGAAGAAGGGGAGGCGTAGATATCGTAACGGTTCGAATGCTATTCTATTTCCATTTTCTACGTCCTTTATTTCCGCCTTTCTGCTCGTTATGCGTTCACCGTCTCGCTTACGCTGCCGTGGATAATTTGACTGGTTCGCGTTCTTAAACGGTTTCGATTTTCTAGAATGGAAAAATGCACGACTCGCAGTTTATCGGCACGAGTAGAAACGCGTGAATTCGCGATAGAACCGATGGGAAGTACAATTACAGGCCGGATGCGAGAAATTGCGATCGGCGTGATTGATATCCCATTGCGATGCAACCGCGCATACCGTGTTGTTTTTGTTTCGAATGGCATTCGCGTGTCATAACTAGCTATTGATTCTCCGCTATACGAATCTATACGAATCTATGCGAATCTATACGAATCTATGCGAATCTATACGAATCTATACGAATCTATGCGATTCGCCGCTTTCCATTAGCGTTCCTCTAGATAGTTTTCTTACCGAAAATACACATAGAACGAAGCAAACGAATCGTTACACGTTAGAAACGTTTACGTCTAATAAACATTAGGAAGTAATTCGACTGAATGTTTGCTAAATGATATGTATAACATTTTCGGAACGTCGTTTCAGAGAACCAAGCTCGAACTCGTTCAGCACGAAGCTGAGCAACGGCACGATACCAAAGGGCTTAGGAAAGGACTCGAAGGACACCAAAGAAGGAAAAGAGGCGGCGGAGAAACAGCAGAGCTGTCCCGAGGAGACGAACCTTTTGGTCTGTCGAATTTTTCTTGGAAACGCTTTTAGTAAATTTCTTTTTACCGGGACGAAGAATGCAACGTCGAGCCGTATCGACGATTCGATATCCTTGAAATCCGACCGGTGCGGTGGTTCGCCTCTGTCTTCGTACCTTCCACCGGCAACAAATGATTTCTCCTTCTCTCGATGCTTATGTAAACGCGCTGCGCGTGCTCGAGCAAGTGCGAAGTAAACGTTTCCCGGAATTCGAATTCGAATTCGTTCCTGCATAAATTAATTGCAAAGGATACCTCTGCTCGCGAACAAAAGCGATTAACTTTCGGATTCGCGGCCCGTCTCATTTTCCTTTATTCGATTCGAGGCGACGCTGCGTTGTCAAAATTCCTAGTAGATAGTCGTATCCGGATTAATAGTAGAATAAAACTACTATTAGTTTTATTTCGTATATTCGAGGATGATTCGCGTTCGCAGATACCGGTGCAAAGCGGAAGAACCGGGGAACGACGCGCCAGCAGTCCCTTCCAAAATGGCCAGACAGAAGTTCTGATCGGAGAACCGGAGGGCGGCCCAAGGTCGCCGCGAGGATCCACCTCTTCGGCGGTGAACGACGCCAATTTCCTCAACACACCGGATGAGCGCGACGATCAGAAGCCCATTTGCAGGTGAGTAACGAAACGCGACAACGATGCATGCTCGTTTTCCTCTGTCGCAAGCGCGCGTTGCGTCACGCTCCTCGAAGAATGTTCGCGCCGATTACATTATACTTCGCTTCGAATATATGGTACATGTCCGCAAAGGTATGCATACACGTACACACTTATATGTATATTTAAATAATTTATTTATTCGATACATAACGATTTTCTATACGCGTAGACGAATCGTAAGTAGTATATTCTACATATTACACGTGGTATATTATGCGTATATTACATGTACCGATGTGCAAAAGTACATATAGGAAAAATGAAACGTCCTAAAGATCGTAGGCGTAGCTCTCCGCGAGTTGTCCGCAGAGTGCAGCTGCAGCCTGCCGATGCAAAACGAACTCCGCAGGTGACTGTCAGATGTCGCGATGCACGCGGTACACGATTCCCCGTTACCAGGGATCTCCGTTATCGAGGAGTTTCAGCAGCTAGACGAACTCGACCTACCGTTGTCCATTGAAAGCTGCTCTTCGAAAACTATTAGGAATTCTCTACGCGCGAGCTCCGTATGCACGGAGACCGTCCACGGTTTCAGACGGCTTCCACAATTTTCGTTGCTAGTTGTTCGCTCAACTAGCTTCGAAAAAGCTTCGAAAAAGCTTCGAAAAAGAAACAGATTAATTCGTAGAATTAAGGCCACTCGGTTCGGAATGTAGCCTCTCTAGGGTTCAGTTTCGAGACTTCCTACTGGAATCTCCGACGACGTGGCTCGAGTTGTCGAGCTGGATAAAGCGGCCCTCTCTACCTAGTCACTTGGCCGGTATTTCACGCTCGTGACACACCCACCTGGTTAGGTTGGTGTTAGTGCAACCTAAACAATGCGTTTTCCAGTCCTCGCGATGCACCGCCTCGCTCTCGGCCAGCGTTTCCCAACCTCTTCACCCTGAACATCAGCTGATTTCGTAAAAGTTCATCGGCATTGTTCGATTCCTCCGATTCCGTTCGGTTTAATGGACTTTCTACCACTCTTGATATCGTTAGCTTCTTTTCGTATAGAGCACGAAAACTCCAACCATATTTGATCGCGCGAGAATGTCTCGAAAGGTTCGGAACGTTTCAAGATAATTGCTCGAAATGGCTAAAAGAGGTAGGAATTTGAGAACGTTGCGGAGGAATTTCGAGCGACACTATGAACAAGAGAGGAAAGCGATACTGGTCCGGACGGCATTCGAGCACGCGAGATTGGGAAACGCTGTCGTCTCGGATACGGATTCCTCCCTTCTTCGTACCTTTTCCGAGTCTTCGTCTACCGGTCGCTCGAACGCTCGAACGCTCGAACGCTCGACAGAGACAAATGGCGAGCATGTAAAGTCGAGAAGAGACCGAGAGGTGTGCAGAGGCGGTCGAACAGCCTCCACGAGTTCGTCGATTCTCCTCGCAGAATTTTTTTTCCGCGCGAAATTCGCTTCTACATCACCGACACGCGTTATCCGCCTTTCGAGAGTAATTACGTCTGAAATTATGCACAGTTTGAAAGTATTCGAAAGTCGTATCTTTATAACGCGTGCACCCGCGTGCGTGCACCGTCCGTTCATTCCATACAGCGATAATTGTTCGTTATCGTTGTTAATCGCGAATTCGATGAAATTCCTTCGGGGAAACAATCTAGCGGGGGAGAAAGAAGATTACTGTCTGGCTATTCGTGGAGGGGAGGTAGAGGAACGTACAGGTGCGAATGAATGCATCCATTGAGACAGGAGCGACTTCTACAAGGGTGCACAGCTTGAATGGCTAGAAAACGAGAGCTTTTTCAATTTCTGGATAAACGACGCCTACCCGAGGTCATCTCGAAACTAGGCTGTTGGATCGCAATTATTTCTTTCCTTTTCTTTTTCTTCTTCTTTCCTCGTTGTTTCCTCGATTAAACCCATCGATACCTTCCCCTACTCGAAAGGACGTTCGCCTTTTCTCCTTCGACGACTTGGACATTTTTCTAATCGGTCGAAAACCGAGTCGAATCTACGTTCTCTACGTCTCGAACAACGGTATTTCTACATTGATTTTATTTGATTTTTACGTTAGCGCGGTGTAGTATGAAATTGATCGACGTAGAAATTTCTCGAATCGATACCTGTTGGAAAAAACAAAAAGACTTTGTCGGTGATAAGCGGTCCGTGACCGAGTCTCTGCAATAATTGGTGGTCCGGTATTCGTTATCCGATTTCGAGTCACGGATATCGATTCGCGCTGACGAAATCGATATTGGGCCGACATCCTCCGTGTTCACGCTCGCACGCGTCCCCCCGCAGTCTCGTAACATTTTTTCACGTCGTCGCCTGGAGCGGATTTGCATTCGATGACGCTGCTCGAGGACACGCTCGTTCGCTGCGATTTAAACGTATATGTTAGAAGGTTAACCTTATACGTCGAAAACATTGCGTCGTAATAGCTGCTCTTATCGTTTTTCCGGCCGTATTTCGTAAGAAATTCTTGACGATATCGAGAAACACCTACACTTTATGTCTTTCAGATGTCACTCGTCTTCTTCGTCGAACAAACGAGCCGCGACAATCGCGCGAATCGATCGAACGAATCGAGCGAAAAGAAACGCGTTCGAAAAGATGGCGAGATGCATCTTTCTAACGCGGAGTTGCAACGGTCGAGGTCCGGTTCCCGTGGTCGCTAACGTTTCGTGCAGGCTCACCGTGACACAAGCCTATGGAATACCGATTGCTCACTCTCCCATGGCGTTTCCTGTTCCGACCACACGTATCTCCCTTTCGAAACGAAACGAAACGAAACGAAACGAAACGAAACGAAACGAAACGCAACGCGTAATACGGGAATACTTGGTTGCATCGCGTTGCGTGGCGTCGTCGCCTCGTACGCTTCGTTCTGGCAGCTTGTTAACTTTATAAAATCTCACGAGAGAAAAGAATGCTTCTCGATAGCGAGAGATAAAGTGGATAGAGGACTACTAGGATTTTGCCGTAATTTCGAGAGCTGGAACTCGTCGAGTAAACTGGATGAAACGGATTTCTAATCCCGCCTCGTCGGAACGGCCGAGAAGAGGATGGTAATTAACTTTGAAGGGAAGAAACACGCGAAACCACTCGATTCGGAGTTTCAAAGTTGCTGGATATAGAGAGCGCCGCTTTAACGGTTCAAACCACTTTCCTCGAGCCCGCCAAGAGCGCACTGAACGAGCACTCGACGCGCACTCTCGAGCCCCGCCACTTGCATGTATCACGGTGCTGGCTGCTTCTCGTGCGCATCATAATATGCACGGTACCTAGCTTCGAACGTTTAGCTGGAAATATTCGGTCGAAGAAAAAAATACTTTCTTTCGATCGTATTCGGTTAGGCCCGAATTAGAGTTGAACCGGTGAAAGTACGCCCTTGGGCCAGCCGTCTAATCGGCGAAGAATGACAAGTACGAAAGTATGTAATGGCTGGTGACGTCACTGCCTCGGGGTACGAGTCGTTCAGGTTTCAATTATAAACGAGACTCGTGGAAATTGCGCATTGTTTTTGAGCCGTGGCTATTACGCGATCCACCTCAGAGAAGATAAGGGCTAATGGATTTATCGATTAGAGGTAGCTCGCAGAGACACGAAACAATTAGTTAATACGTAGCAGTTAGGTCGAAGAAGAAAGCAGGAGTGTTCGGTTTCGAAAGGACTCGTACACGTAACGCCTGAAACCGTTAAAATCGATGTTTTTATTGGCCGTTCGATTCGCAGGATGGCACGTTTATCGTAGCGCAGTATTCGAAAAAAGAGGAATCGAACGAGTAAATAAAGCGGCGACGAACGGGAAGAAGGACGGATCGCGAGACAGGATCGAATAATGGAACGTTGACAGAGAGGCTGTCGTTAATCAAACCGATTAATCGAATGTCGTCCACGAACGCTGGATGAATATCCAGCGCGTGGAAAACGGTGCTTAAATACCCCCTGTTGCCCCGCCTGATACTTTCCAATGTTCGACTATAATGAGCCGCAACAACGCCGCTGCACCTGGGAAATGGAGCATTTTATCGATGTTTTCTCTTCTCTCCTTTTACCCCTCGAGAATCAGCTATTTAGACTATCGCGGGCTCAAGGTTGACGTCGCGTATCGATGAAAAAAGAGAAACACGCAATTATGTTTCGGTGGAAAGTGGATCGATACTCTCGATAATCCTAATATTAACCCTTTATCTCGTCGTTCCTTAGTTTCGATTAGTTGGCCAAATAATTGTCTAACTAGGAAATAGCGAAACCGTCGAGAGAAGAACGCTAAAGAATCGAAGCAACTTCTAATATATGTATACATATAAGGGTATATTAGAAGTAATTATTGCAGCGTACGGTCGATCGTCGTTCGGATCGGAAGAAATCGCGTAAGAAAAGAAATAGGTCGAGCTCGTTCGAGACCTTCTTTTTTCTTCTTTCTCATTCGTTTCGCGTGAATTGCAACGAACGTAATCGTTCGTCTTACGCTCGGATGCCGTTCACGTTCGTATGAGAGCCACTGACCTATTGTCAAGGTCGAAATGACCAGGCTAATTGATAGTTCATTAGAGTGAATCGTAGTCGCGATTTCACCCCGCGAGTTCTCTTTTCATCCGTAAAAGAGGCCCTTTCGACCCTTTCGAAAATAATACTCGAAAACAAGAACCGCGATTTCAAAATTACTCGACCATCGTGTTTTTCGCTCGATGCTCCTTCGAATCTTTTGCTCCGAAACTCGGGGCTTAAATAATACCGCTGTCGAGAAGAAAAACAACTGGCCGATTCTGCATAATGGGTTAGGAGTATTCGAATTCGATAAGCGAATAAATGAAAAATCGGAGAAGGATTTCCGTTGCTCGTAGATCCATAGATCGTCCCCGAGGTGAGCAGGCATGCGAGTACGTGCAGGGACTACGATCGTAAAGGAATTCTCGCCGCGGATAGACGCTCGTGACGGCCGTTCGTTTCTCTTTCCGACGATTTTTATCGGCAATCCGGTCACGTTGGGCCTCGAATTAC